TTCCAGGTGGACGACCCTAAAATGACCGTAAAATGAGAGGAAAACAACATCCAACCTAACTAAACAACAAGTCGATTGAAATCCCCAATTTTTGAAACCCTAATTTGAAACCAAAATTACCCCAAATCGTTGAAAACACAAAACCAAACGGTAAAAGTTAAGGAAAACAACATCCATCCTAATAAAAACCCATAAATCTACAAGAGAAGCCTTCGATTTACCTTGGTCTTGTATCGGAGCGAAATCGCCTCGAAATCACCTTTGAGAGAAACGGCGTTAGGGTTTTCTGAATTTCGCGAAAAGTGCGTAAAAAAAAATCTTCTTATATATGTCCGGTCAAAAATCCGGTTAGGTTAAAAAGTAATTTGGTAAAATCCGGTTTGGACGACTTATTATTAAGTCGTCTGTTGATACTATACATTCGACTTAGTCGTCTGCCTTATTAAATATATTTACCAGACGACTTTATTATAAGTCGTCCAGACCGTAAACCCTAAATCCTAAACTAAATTGACTAAATTAACTACTAACCATGTTATAAAATCAAACTAGATTTTGACCCGCGCTTGAAAGCGCGGAAATTTTTTATGATTAAAATTTTATATAATTGGGTTTTGTCTCAATTTAAAGAATATTTTGATATAAAATCAGTTCACCAAAATTTGTGGTGATGATTGTTTTTCATTAGTTTTTAGTTTCAGTTTTTGTTTTTAGATTTTTGTTTTTTGTTTTTAGTTTTTAACTTTCTACTTTTCATTTTCAGTTTTTGGTTTGGATTTTTAATTTTTAAACCCGCTGAGTTAGTTTGAACTAATATTACCAACAAACAAATCTCAAATAATCGAACATCTAATTTAAAACTAAAAAGATGCTAACAAATTTTTTTAAAAAAAATTGAAATAGTTTATTTTGTAAATAAACAAAGCAAAAAAATATAACATGTGTTTTCAGCTTTTGGTTTTGGATTTTAGTTTTTAGATTTGGTTTTTGGTTTTGCTTTACATTTTTTAATCAGTAATTTATTTAAGAAAAATAAAACAATAAATTATTTAAAAGTTACCATTAAAATTTATCAAAACAAAGTGATTGTTATTTAAAATAAAAAATATATTAACATGTTTTAAAGTACATGATTTAAATAAATGATTAATAATAGATAATTTTGTTTTGTTTTGTTAAAAATACTAAATACCTTTTGGGTCTGAAAATAATAATTGATTTTTTGATCTTTTAAGGTGAAAAGTTTATTCAATGTTTTTGGAGTTTTTTCTTAATACTAAGCCGAAAAACCAAACTATATAATTTGTTCAAAAAATAAAAGTAAGCCCAAGACTATATTCCATAAATAAGCACTGGTTTAATTTAAGTATAATTAGTAGATTTCTATATTCCATATTTTGATGATATATATTCTTTTAGAACATTCCATATTTGTAGGAGAAAATATGTGTTTTTGGTATACACATAGATACCTACCGTATTTTGAAGGTAGTTTACATTAAGGTCGTCTCTTTACATTAGTTGTGTTGGTTTAATTTGAGTAATACGGTTCAATCAATTATATGACTTATATTATTTGTGACATTCTAGAAAGTGTCTAAATTTAAATGACAACTTGTATCAGTAGATAAAAAGAATGACTCTATTTTAATAGAGTAGATTATACTTAAATATTGTTTACTATACACAGAAATAAACACACTTAGGTAAATTTTAAAGTTTTCAAAAAAACATTTATGCTTTCGAATTTCCAACCCTAAGAAACACATACAATACTACAACATATGTTGGTGAAACCTAAACTAAAGAATATCATCACTCACTACTTTCACTCATCTATGCTGAAAACAACTGACTTTTTTTATATCTTAATTTATATCGCTTAAGACATATGTTAATTACATAATCCCAATTTTTTATTTATCAAGATATTTATTACACAATTTTTAAATTATTTTTAAGAAAAACTGTCCCAGACGACTTTCAATTAAGTCGTCTAGGCAAACGACTTACTTTCAATTAAGTCGTCTAGGCAAACGACTTTCAATTAAGTCGTCTGGGCAGACGACTTGCGAGGACTAAAAACATAAAAAAAAAGACTCTTTTTTTGTTTGTTCACAAGGGGTTGGTTGTAATTTCAACAGCCTTTTAAGTTACTTTTGCATTTAATTCAAGTTTGGGTTTACTTTTGCATTTCAAATCAAGTTTTGAGTCATATTTGGCAATTTTCCCTTAGAAGAAATTGACGGAAGATGAGTAGCGTTGATTGCCCTAGTAAATGCTTTTTCACCACACTAGCTTGACTGATTCCCTAGCTCATACATGTGGAATTAAATGGTATAGAAAGAAAGAAAAACACATGTTTCTTTTTTGTAAAATGCATTAAAAAAACACATGTTCATTTGTAAGTTACAAATTGTAACTTATAAGAATGGATGCAGACAGAGAAAAGAAACATTCAGTTCCCAAACATATTTGGTAATCTTGCACACGCAAGGTAAATTTCTCTCATATAACTAACTTTTTGTTATGTTTTGCCATATTTGCACTTTTCAGTAAAAAGAAAGATACGAGACTTGGAAAAGATTGTAACTATATAAATATTATTTCTTATCCCTCGTGTAGACCCCTATAAGAGAGGAGGCTAAGAAGAGATGGAACAAATTTTGTTTCTAATTAGCCTTTTCTTGAGTTTCGCTTTCTCCGGAAGATGCAGCGATGTTTACAGCAAGAACGACTTCCCGAAGGGCTTCGTCTTCGGATCAGCCGTTTCTGCTTTTCAGGTTTGGAATCCGAACTAAGTTTTTCTTTAACTCGAACTTCGATGGATTTTGATAATCTGAATATGGTTTTAAACTCTCAACAAGTGGGAAGGAGCTGTTGATGAAGACGGAAGAACGCCTAGCATTTGGGATGCATACGTTCAATCTAGTACTCAAGATCTTCACTAAACACTTATGGTTAAACACAAAAATATTTTTCGGGTTTAGTAACGATCAATGTTCCTAAAATTGCAGGTCATGGTCATGGACCTACCGGAGGTGTAGCATGTGATGGTTACCATAAATATAAGGTTGGCCTAGTGGTCCAAATTTGAAGACTTTTATAGGTATAAATAATAACATGTCTAAAACGTGACAATGCTGCAGGATGATGTAAGGCTGATGTATGACATGGGTTTAGATGCATTCCGACTCTCTATCTCGTGGCCGCGGCTTATACCAAGTGTGTTTGTGTTTCTTTGCCACAACTCGAGTTTTGGTACCTTTTCTTGAGTTTTAAAGGCTTTTGGTTTAATTTTCAGATGGAAGAGGTCCTGTGAATCCAAAGGGGTTACGGTTCTACAAAAACCTCATAAATGAGCTCACAAGATATGGTACTTAATAGATTATATTTTCTCATAACCAATTTGTTTTTATTATGTCTTGTGTCTAGGAAAGAACATGAAATGGTCTGTTTGGTATGAATGGGTGAGTACAGGAATTGAACCGCATGTTACGTTGTTTCACAATGATCTCCCTCAGGCTCTTGAAAATGAATACGGAGGATGGATTGACCGAAAAATCATGTAAAGCCAAACATTTTCTCGCAACTAATAAATTTGCACTCATTATAGCTCCATGAGTGAAGTGTGTTGTATATATCATCTTACATGATCTTTTGTGGCAGCGATGACTTCACGGCTTTTGCAGACGTTTGCTTCAGAGAGTTTGGCAACAAAGTGAAATCCTGGTGGACTATTAACGAGCCCAATATGCTAGCTTGGGGAGGTTATGACTTGGGAGTTTTCCCTCCTATGCATTGTTCTCCTCCATTTGGGATTCGCAATTGCTCCAGGGGAAACTCTTCAACTGAGCCATATATTGTACTCCATAACATGTTGCTTGCACATGCATCCACCGCAAGATTGTATAAGCAAACGTATAAGGTATAAGCCATGCACAAACATATCCATAATCTCTTGAATGCTTGGTTTACCTCTATATATGTGTCTCCTGTGAGATGGTGTAGGATAAGCAGCATGGATCTGTAGGTATAACTTTATTTGCATACTGGATGGTTCCATTTACTAGCTCTGAAGAGGACAAGATTGCAACTCAAAGAGCCAAAGATTTCTACTTAGCCTGGTTTGTAGAACACAATTCATCTTTAAAGAATTTCGTTTAAAAATAATTATATTCATCTCTTCTTAGGCTGCTCTGACCTAAAGGGCACGAACATTTTCATCTCTTGATTCTAGGGTTTTGCACCCGCTGGTGTTTGGGGACTATCCTGATATGATGAAAAGAATTGTGCGCGAAAGGTTGCCAATCTTTTCGAAAGAAGAATCAGAATTCGTTAAAGGCTCATCTGAATTCTTGGGACTGATTCACTATACAGCAGTTTACACGGCACACGTATCTGGTACTGTCCACTCAGGAGACTTTACTTCAGACATGAGTGCTTCACTACTACGTACGTATGCTTTTCTTTCATGGGATGTGTTTGTGTGTATGTTTTTTGAATCTACCATACATGAGTCCGTAGCTGATTATTTATTTCCTTTTCTTGTACAGCCTTTGGAAACTCTTCATTTGTCAAGGTGTGTTCCCAAAGACTACCAGTTCCCAAACCCTAACACTCTTTCTCATTGATTCTCATATGTCCACAGTTTGATGTGCTTCCATGGGGTCTTGAAGGAGTGTTGGAATACATAAAGCAGAACTATGGCAATCTTCCTGCTTACATTCTTGAAAATGGTATTTGTCTCTCTCACTTGTTCTTTACTTAGTTTCAAAACATTACAAAATTTTGAGAGTTTCCATGTAAATACACAACAAGGTCGACCAACTAACCAACATTCATCGCTTAACGACGTGGGAAGAGTTGAATACCTTCATGCTTATATCGGTGCCGTACTCGATTCAGTGAGGTGTGTACTATAATATTCTCTTTGAAACGACTTGTCACTTAAATTGTAATACTAAAACTTCATAAGCTTTATTTATGCAGGAATGGGTCAAATGTCAGAGGCTACTTCCAGTGGTCGTTCATGGATTTGTACGAATTTTTGAATCCTAATTACACATACGGATTATACTATGTGAATTTCAGTGATCCAGAACGTGAGAGATTTCCAAAAACCTCTGCTCTTTGGTATACTGCTTTTCTCAAAGGAACAACCGTTAATTCACAAAATCTGAAGGACCTCTGGGGGTCTACCTCTCATGGGGCTTCTTCTCAGTAAAACAGAATATAGACTCTGTTTGGTTTACTTATTCGACGAGAGGAGGTCACGGACGTCTGAAGATAATGAATAAAGGCAAAATGTTGCAATAAAAAGGAAAAGTGAGAGTTTGAAGATTTTTAAATTAAAAAAGTTAAATAGTGAGAGCTAGTGGGCTTCTCTCTTTACCAATAACTAAGTGGTTGACCACAAATTTATGGGTATAAATAATATTAATTTTAAATTTAATATACTATTTTTATGCTTTTAACATGCAATAAAATAAGAAAACAATTTTTAGCTATTAACGAGGAAATTGGGTTCTCGTAAATTTACGTGGTTTTTACGAGTATCTTACGAGGAAATAATGAATCTTTGTAGATTCGTCATGAATTAACGAGAAGAAATTTCCTCAGTGATGCATTTGTTACAATATGAGGAGACTGCCAGAGGGATGAGATGGCATGCCAAGCATATTCAGATGGAGGGTGAGATGACTCATCCATCAGATGCAAGAGCTTGGATACCTTTTAACAAAGTACATCCAGATTCCGCTAGCAATAGCCGGAATGTGTATCTTGGGGTTTAGAAAGAAGTAAAGATTGAGTTATAAGTTAAGGAAGTTGCGGTTTGGGGTGTGAGGTTTTGGATTTTAGGGTTTAGGGAAATATTTTCTCGTAAATTCCACGTAAACAAAAACACAGGCCTTGTTAATTCCACGTAAGACATAATTCCTCGTGAGTTCCACGTAAACAGAAAACACGGGACTGGTTAATTCCACGTGTAACATTTCCTCGTAAATTTCTCATGGCGGCCGAAAAAGCGGGCCTGGTTAATCCTCGCAGATAAAAAGACGGGTCTGGTTAAGCACTCATTAATTCACGAGTATTTAACGAGGAAAAAAACACGGACCTGGTTAATTCCTCGTAAGCTTAACGATTACTTTACGAGGAAAAAATGTGGGCCTGGTTAATTCTTCGTAAAGTTACGAACTGTTTACGAGGAAATATAATTCTTCATATAAGCTCGAGCCACCCCACTTCCCTCATTCGTAGTAACTTTTTCTCTATCTCCTCTCAAGGTGTTCCTCTCTACTTACTCTCTAAATAGTTTAGGTAATTAGTTTAGGATTAGTTTAGGTGGTTAGTTTATGATTAGTTTAGGATGATAGGTGGTTTAGTGTAGGGACTTTAGCTAAGTGATTTTAGATAAGTTTATAGAATTACATGTTTTTATAAAATATTTTCGTTTTCTTCTATTATTTTAATTTTTTTTTAAATAATTTTTTTTTTATATTTTTTTATAATTAATTATCAATACAGAAAAAATAAGTTTCCAAGTAAATTAATCGTTACTTTTTCGTGGAATTAACTACGAAAGTTAGCGTGGACTTTGCGAGGAAATGTTTACGTGTGAATAACGATGAAACTTAACTAAGACTTTACGAGGAAATGTTTACGTGTTTTAACGAGAAAACTATTAGCGTATATATTACGTGGAATATATAGCATTTATTTTACGAGGAGACGTAGGCCCGACTTTAAGAGAAAATATTTCTTAGTAAAGTTATGAGGTTTTAGCGAGGAAATATGTGTTACGACAAACGTGTCACAACGTTTTCCATTTTGTGGTTATTTCCTCGTAAAACCTCATTTATGAGGAAATAACTACGAAAATGGCTCTCGCTAAATATTTTTTTTCTTCTAGTGGATATTTTAAGATTGAATGTAAATTTTTCATGGGTACAATAGAAATCAAAACGATCTTTTTCTCTTGATTTGGAAAAAATAATATGAAAATGATGAACTTGTAAAGAAAACAATATTTTGCTGTTGATTTTTATTTTATAAGGAAATTATATAAACAATAGATAACACATTTAAATTTTTCAAATTTTATGAATAATTTCTCAGAAATTTTGAAAGTCCTTATAAATAGTTTCATAGATCATAATAAGTGGTTTTATAACTCAATAAAATAACTTGTTCTCTATTATAAATAATTTATAAACTTTAAACTGATTTAAGACTTTTATAAAATATTTTTTTCTAAAGATTTATCAAGGCTTTTTAATTTAAAATAGTTAAAAAACCTGTTAATCTTCATAAAAATTTCTAAACTCCTATAAATGATAAAAAACTATTTCTTAGATTTTTTTATGAATATTTATATCATTTTTCTATATCTTTATAAATTTTTTGTAAACTTTTTTTTAAGATAATCCCTTTCTCAGAAAAAAACTCTTATTAAAGATAGAATATTCATTATTGATGATTAAAAACCTTATAAATGATTTATAAATTATTTTTATAAATACAGACTATTAGATTTTTTATAAACCATTATAAATTCATTAGTTTAAATAAATTTATTCTTACAAATGATATACTAATCATCACGAAATATTTTAAACTCGCATAAATAATTTATAAACTCATTTTGTGTGCATTAACAGTTATCATATTGTCTTTATCACAAATAGATGTATTATCTATGTATGTTATGGCTTATATAGAAAACTAGAGTTAGGATTACATCTGATTTATAATTGAAAAATAAAGCTAGCATATTAGTTTTATTAACTACTTTTTAAAAATATATATATAGTTTTTTTGTCATCTCTTTATATAGTTTATAAATATATTTTTAATGAAGGAAAACAAATGAAAAAGTATTATATAAAATTTACATAATTACTATCATTAGACAATATAAATGATTATGTGTACGATTATATAAACTTTTTGACAATTTAACATTAATTGGCTCTAAGATTGCTTCTTTTAAATTTTTGATTAAAATCAATAAAAAATTAAAAATCACAAACCAACCAAATTATAAAAATTCTTTTAAAATTTACCTATAATTGCCACCTAAACAAAATCACTTAGTTTACTTCTCATTTAATTAAGATAATTCCTTTAAATTTTAAATTTTCAAAAGATGTAAAATATTCTAAAGATTCTCTTTAAATGGGATGTTTCAAGTTAAAATTTTATTATCAGATATGTTTATAATAATTTTGTAAGCAATTTTAGAATATATATTTGTCTTCATAATATTTTTGGTAACTGTATGAGTTGGTTTATGGTTATTTTCCTTATTTAGAATTGAATTAAATAAATAAAAACTGAAAAGTCATCGATCAATCAAATTATAACAATTAATTCAACAACTCACCTATGAATGACATATGTAAAAAAGTCAATAAAGTGACTTCTCAATTAATATATAATAGTAAATTTTTAACTCTTTAAAGTGAGATAAGAAACTTTTTTAAGAAACACTTAATTATAATGGTTTAATGGTAGTTTCTTAACAAATATTCTTATAATAAAAATAGTAAATTTATTTTTAAACATAAAATTTTAAACAAAGATTAAATTTATTTATTAAATAAAAGAAAGTCAAACATAACATTTTAAACATAGATTTTAATATAAAAACATAAAAACAAAGATTACTAAAATAAACGATAATAAATTCAAAGAGGCATCCAAGCTCAGTTGTTATCTTAATCACGTCCAAACTTACGCCATATATGTTCAACCAAATCACCTTTTAGTTGTTGATACGATTCTCTATCACAAATTCTTGTTCGAAACCCATCTGGTGATATTTGTAAGGATATCTGTAGAATAGGTGAGATCGACATGTGAACTTCCGCTGCCTTCTTCTTGTTGGAAATCTGAAACATCATATTGAGTGTATTCATCTTGTTTGTCTTCTACTATCATATTATGGAGTATAATACATGCTCTCATAATCTTTCCAATCTTAACTTTATCCCAAAAAAGTGATAGGATTTTTAACAATGGCTAATCGAGCTTGCAAGACTCCAAAAGCACGCTCGACATCTTTTCGGGCAGCTTCATGACGTTGAGGAAATAAAACTTCTTTCAGTCCTTGTGGAATTGGAATAGGTTGAATAAAAATTTCCCATTTTGGATAAATACCATCGGGAGATAGTAAGCTAAATTATACTCTCTTCCGTTGACCGAGAAATTCACTTGCGGAACTTGATTATTTATTATGTTATCAAAAACAAGTGAGCGATCAAGAACATTGGTATCATTTAAGGTATCTGAAGGTCTAAAAAACACATGTCATATCCAGAGATCATATGAAGCAACCGCCTCTAAATCGATTTTGGAAAAATTCCTGAACCACAAGAATATTGCCCTTTCCAAGTGGTGGACAATTCTTCCACTCCAATGCATACAATCGGTATTTCCTATCATCCCGGGAAATCAACGAAGCTCTCCAATATGAAGCAGACGTTGAAGATCAGCCGGTGTTGGTCTTCTTAGGGTACTCATTGCCGAACAAATTTATTATTGCTTCCACAAAATTTTCCACACATAAGCGAGTAGTGGTTGCACCGAGCCTGAGGTATTCGTCGACCGCATCAAAGGCAGAACCATATGCCAACACACGAATAGCTGCTGTATACTTTTGAAGTGTAGAGAGACCAAACCTTCCGATACCGTTCTTCTTTTGACAAAAGAATTGAACTTCATTGGAGAGGCATTCAACAATATGCATGAACAATGGCTTCTTCATTCCAAATCGTCGTCGAAATAGATTTTCAGGATATGTTGGAGCGTCACAGAAATAATCATTCTATAACCGGAGATGGCCTTCTTCACGATTTCTTTTGATAAGTTCTCTTTTTTTTTTCTTGTCCTCCTTTCGTCTTCTTGATCACCATTAGTATTGCACAAATTCTCATATGCTTGATCGGAATATTGATCAAAATCTTGATCAAAATATTGATGGAAAATTTCATCAATATTACCCTCGAAAGTGTTGTGAGAAGATGACACCATGAGAGGTTTGTTTGAGATTCTTGTTTCAGATTATATATTGTTTCAGATTTAGAAAGAGAATTGAGATTTGTGTGAATTGTTGTGGAGAGAAGTATGAATTGTCGTGAGAAAGGGAATAATAGAGAAAGATAATGGACAGAAGTATGAAATGTTGTGAGATGGAGAAAGAATTGTTGTACCAGATTTATAGTGTGAATAGCCCTGTCCAGCTCGCCAACAGGCGAGCTGGCTCTGCTCAATCAGCTCGCCTGTTGGCGAGCAGAACCAAACCATCCATGCTCCTTGACTCGATCATAGTCTGAACTGTCATCGAACGTCTTTCATTTCGTCTCGATCATTCTTACCGTTGGAGTTTTACGATAAAAACCATAAAAGTTTGTTTTCTCGTAAAACCTCGAGTAAATTGTGTAAAATGACAAAGGTTAAACAAAACTCCGAACATTGCCAAAATACACG